AATGACTTTCACGAACGATTCGTTCACGAAACACCGCAAAACTCAGCATTTTGTTCGCGTATCCCCCCCTTCTGTCGCCTCACGTACCCCAGTTTGGGAACCACTGTTCTTCATTAAATGTTTAGCTAACAACAGCCTGAAATTACCTAGCAACAGTGTATGTTAACGTTAGCTCAGTCAACGTAGGCTAACATTAACAGGTGTAGACATAAAATATGATTATCCTGACCTGAGCTAATTTACTGAATCAACCAACTCACATCTCCTTTCTTTCTCTCTTTTCATCCATGATGACATTAAAGTGATCTGTTGCTGCGTCTGGCGTTTCATCGCTGACTGTGCCGCAACCACGATACCTGCTCGTTAGAACCTTCAGTGAGCTATTTTTAGAGTGGACGCAGTCGCATGCATCTGTGCCTGCTCGGTCCTAAAAAATCATAACAAATGGATTTGAAAGTGGGGGGGGGGGGGACACAAACGGGATTTTGCAAAGGGGGGGGAAGGCAAAACTCAGCATTTTGTTCGCGTACCCCCCCTTCTGTCGCCTCACGTACCCCAGTTTGGGAACCACTGTTCTTCATTAAATGTTTAGCTAACAACAGCCTGAAATTACCTCGCAACAGTGTATGTTAACGTTAGCTCAGTCAACGTAGGCTAACATTAACAGGTGTAGACATAAAATATGATTATCCTGACCTGAGCTAATTTACTGAATCAACCAACTCACATCTCTTTTCTTTCTCTCTTTTCATCCATGATGACATTAAAGTGATCTGTTGCTGCTTCTGGCATTTCATCGCTGACTGTGCCGCAACCGCGATACCTGCTCGTTAGAACCTTCAGTGAGCTATTTTTAGAGTGGATGCGGTCGCGTGCATCTGTGCCTGCTCGGTCCTAAAAAATCATAACAAATGGATTTGAAAGTGGGGGGTTTAAAAAAAAAAAAAAAAAAAAAAATAGCATTTGTTTTTTACTATATGGGTGGGTTAGTTCCCTAATGAGACTGACTTAACTCAATTTTATAAGTTTCTTTGGATGAACTTGCAAAGCAGTTCACAAAACTCATCTTTTTAAGTGTATGGAAAAAATCTTGGTTTAAGCAGAATAAGTGTATTAAACTTAGTTGTACTGACTTTTTCATGGATTTTTGCTGACCCAACACAACAAAACCAGTCATTTAAACTTTTTTCAAGTTGGGTTTTTTTACAGTGTGGACCCTCGCATCTAAGCTTAGCCCTAAGAGGTTGATTTATGCCATCGCAGAAAAACTCTATCAATAAACAGTCTGGCAACGGGGGGGGGGGGGGGCATGTCCCCCCTGTCCCCAGTGGAAATTACGCCCCTGAAGAAATGTATACATTTTATAAAAAAAAAAAATTGCATTTGTTTTTTACTATATGGGTGGGTTAGTTCCCTAATGAGACTGACTTAACTCAATTTTATAAGTTTCTTTGGATGAACTTGCAAAGCACTGTTCACAAAACTCATCTTTTTAAGTTTATGGAAAAAAATATTGGTTTAAGCAGAATAAGTGTATTAAACTTAGTTGTACTGACTTTTTCATGGATTTTTGCTGACCCAACACAACAAAACCAGTCATTTAAACTTTTTTCAAGTTGGGTTTTTTTACAGTGTGGACCCTCGCATCTAAGCTTAGCCCTAAGAGGTTGATTTATGCCATCGCAGAAAAACTCTATCAATAAACAGTCTGGCAACTCAGAATAGTGAGCGATGGCTAACAACTCTCGGATATGGTTCTCCAATGATCGTGGACCCTGTTTAAGGGCTAACAAAATTCTTGCTGTGTCCATACCTGGCCAATGTTCCTCAGAAAAGCTGCTGGGTCCTTGTAGGGCTGAGTACTCTGTAACGGGGCTGACGAGATGTGAGACGTGTGGATCCATCTGCAAGCTTTTATTCAAAAGACGTGGTATAACAGGCAGGGTCAAACAATGGCAAACAGGTATACGGTGGGCAAAAACACAAGAGTAGTCCTAGGGCTAGCGTAGGTCACCGACTGGCAGACAGAATCACAGGAGCGAGACGAGAGGGAAAATCCAGGAAAACAGGCAAAGATCAGAAACCGCAAAAACAGGCAAGGCAAAACAAGGAAACCACGGAGACTCGGAAAGGGGTACAGGCTAAACAATACTCAGCAGAGAATGGTGGTTTGAGTGGGTGTTATATAGTGAGGTGATAATAAACAGCTGTGTGCAATGAGTGCAATCAGTGCAGTGTGCAAATCGTGCACTGAATGATGGGATATGTAGTCCGGCGTGCTATGCAACAGTTTGTGTTGTGCGAGAGTCAATGTAATGGAAAGGGTGACCTCTGGTGGTGAATAAACGGAAGTCCATGGAGCGAATTCGTGACAGATATATTGTATATTGTTTTATAGTTTCTACAATATTTATTAAACACTGTAATTGCTTCCAATTGATCAGTAAGTGTTATGTTTTTGGCCAGCGGGTGGCAGTAACCTCAATACATGTTTTAAGAGCCTTGTTGCTTCAGAAAGCTTCAATAAAATGTCAATATTTCATAATCTTGCCATACCAAAGGCTGTATTTTTAGCACCGCAGTCTTAGACTTTGGCTTTTCCAATAGAGGAGACCTGATTCAAAATGGAAACAAACAACATTATTTATAATTACACACTCTATAGAGTAGCTCCTTAACAGATAATCAGCTAAATAGCTGACATTATAAAAAAAAAAAAAAAAAATTGCATGAAATGGTAAATGCATCTCGGCTGACAGACTACGACTGAAAATAAAATGTATTAACCTGGAAATAGGGGTCGTCGATTTCCAGAGTACTGTATATAATTTGCAGTCATCAGGGAAATGCACACAAAGTGCAGGGCACTTCCAGACCTTCCAGGAGAGGCGGAATGTCTGCTTTATAAATAAGTGAAATTTGAGATCTGTGTGAGTTCTGAGATTTGATTTATTTATAAAGCACATTTAAAAACAACCTTGGTTGGCCAAAGTAGTCTACATAAAATAATATACAAACCGATTTACCAAAGATTAAAAGCACAAGAGAAAAGATTTTAACTCAGATAACATAGGAGCAGTTCTAATAGGTAATGACAGGTTGTTCCACAGCTTAGGGCCGGTCAAAGCAAAGGCTTGGTCTGCTCTGCATAAAAAGAGTTTCGTAATCTAAGCAGTTTTGTGGAGACATTGGGGAGCTAGATTATTGATAGCTTTAGAAAGAAATAGTGCAATTTTATAATCTATATATCAGCAAGGTAGCCAATGCAGAGAGTGTAGAATGGGCGTAAAATTATCTTGTTTGCAGCTAACGGGGAGTAAATGAGCAGCCGCATTTTGGAGCATTTTATGGTGGGAGATTGAAAAGAAAAGCATCCCAACAAACAATGAATTGCAGTAGTTAATAACAATGTCAACACTTTTCCTATTTAAAAAGAGTTTAACTCTGGCTAATCGATGAAGGTGACAAAAGCTAAAACTAACAGTAGCATTAATTTTCTTGTCTTGTTTAAGACTACTATCAAGATACAAGACACAAGATACTAGCAGTTACATATCAAATGATCTGTTTAACCCTCTGGTGCTCCTCATTTGGGAGTCACACTTGTGATCTTCACAGTCAAAACTGACCAGACACCTGAAATGTAACTTTTTTTCGCTCCAGTAAAATTAATGTAATATATTTTTGTTCAAATATTTTTTTATTTTGTATTTTGAGATGATTTAATGGCACTAATTAATATTTATGCAATAATTATGATGAATTTCTGCCCATTGAAAATAATTAAAAAAAATTATATATATATATATATATATATATATTACTTTTCAATGAATGCAGTATTTCATGTTAAAATATAGTCAATGCCTTTAAAATCCCATTGAAGCCATATTAGTGCCATGTGGTGGGAGTAAAATAAGAAAAACATCTGCAATTCCATGGTTTAGCCCATAGATTCCTATATAGGCCTATAAATTATCTAATTGTTTTTAGACATAAATACTTATTTTTATTAAGTTGTGGGTCTGGATATATATTTAGACATTCTCAAACACAACTTTTTGTAAAGGTTTAGATTATTATTTTTGTGTTTGAAATGTTGAATTGAAGTGTCAGTTTTTAAATTATTATTACTACAGTCAAACCTGAAAACATTTTGTTACACAAAACATTACAATTCTATAAAAATTTTACAAAAATGAACAGAAATGTTTTATCAGAGCTTAATTCTTCTGGGTTTGATCTGATTTCAACCTCTTATTTCAGTTTCTGACTCGTTTTGGCTATATGGTTATAGCCATACCAATTAATTTGAGTGTGTATAATTGTGTATGTTTGTGTGTGTCTGTGAGTGTGTCTGTTCTGCACTCTTGATGTTTTAGAGTGTAACCCCTTCCTTGCTGTCCACATTTTTACGGCATTGTAGTTGAATTATTGCTTTTATTTGACATATTTGCTGTCTTACAGTCACACCAGTTCATAGCTGTGTGTGTATAAGTGTGTGTGTATGCATGTGTGAGTGGATGTGTTGGTTTTGCACTCTTGATATTTTAGAGTTTTACCCTGTCATTGCTGTGTACTTTTTTTCTGCATTGTGTCAGATTTGTAGATTGTACACTCAAAAATTCTCAGGATTTTTGTCGATTTCCCATTCATTTCCTAACGTTGGTCATTTTTGACCGAAGACCACTGTCACGTGTGGCTGTGGTGAAGAGCACGATGCAGGAGCAGGATTGGGAAACCACATATTTAACTATAACACTAATGCCCTGGAGGCCTCTAGTACAGGACGGGAAGCCTCCAGGGCGGTGTCAGTTCAGGGGCCCATGGCGGAGCAGTCAGTTCAGGAAGCCATGGCGGAACAGGCAGTTCAGGGGGCCATGGCTGGACGGCCTCCGTGGCCTTGGCCCCGGGACTCGGCCCGGCCACTACAGCCGGAGATGTATAGCCCCCCAAAATATTTCTTGGGGGAGACTCCATGTCCCCTGGCTGGAACCGGCTCTGGGCTGGGCTCAGAAGTCCACTCCGGGCTGCATTCAGGAACAGAAGCCCTCCCTGGGCTGCACTCTGGAACAGAAGCCCTCTCCTGACTGGACTCGGGAACAGAAGCCCCCTCTGGGCCAGGTTCGGGGACAGAAGCCCTCTCTGGGCTGGACGTGGGAACCGCAGCCTTCTCAGGGCTTGACATGATGCCTGAAGCCCTCTCTGGGCTGGACGTGGAAACAGGACTCCTTGTTGGGCTAGACTTGGGATCTGTGGCCCTCCCTGGTCCAGAAGCGGGAACAGCAGCCCTCTCTGGGCTGAACTCGGGAACTGAAGCCCTCCCTGGGCCATTCGCGGGAATCGCAGCTCTCTCTGGGCTGGACGTGGAAACAGGAGCCCTCCTTGGGCTAGACTCGGGATCTGTGGCCCTCCCTGGGCCAGACGCGGGGACAGCAGCCCTTTCTGGGCTAGACATGGGGACAGGAGTCCTCTCTGGGCTTGACGTGGAGACAGGAGCCCTCTCTCGACTTTGGTCAGGGGCTAGAACCATCACTCGACTCTGGTCAGGGGCTAGAGCCATCTCTCGACTCTGGTCAGGGGCCCGAGCCATCTCTTGACACTGGCCAGTGGCTAGAACCATCTTTTGACTCTGGTCAGGGGCTAGAGCCATCAGTCTTCTCCTTCTCAGTCTCCTCTTCTGGGCTGAGGTGAAGGAGATAGCTGCTGTCATCCTAGGGCTTGACTGTGGAGCGACCGGTGGACTTGACGATTGAGCAGCCGGCAGGATTGAGAGTGGAGCGGCTGGCATCACAGGTGCTCTGGAGGATGGCTTTGTGGCACGTGTTGACACTGGACTGAGGACTGGTTGAGACTCGGGCGTTGGAGGCGGACGAAGGGAGGTGGCTTTGAGCGCTGAGCAGACAGATGTAAATGCTTGATCTGCCACTTTGGCTCCCAGGTGCATCCCAGCGCTCTTCGATGCCCACCTATGGGCTCGGGGAAGCGCGGGTGGAACGGAGGGAGTGGGCTCTTTGGAACAGTATATGGAGGGTGCTGGTAGATGGTGAGCTGAAGCGCCCATTTGCTTCCGAATGGGAACAGGACAACTATCCTCCACATCAACAAGGAAAGCAGAGCCATTTAAATCGAGGACATAATTAATAAAGTCAGCTACGGGTCTATAACAATTGTCAGGAGACAGGAATCTAAACAAATTATCATCATCGAGTCCCATTCGGAAGCAAGCATTAGCCATGTAATCGCTCCAGCTCACCAGATGTACAACACTCAGGAACTTCTCTACATATCGTTCCAAAGGCCGTCCATCCTGCTGTATGTTCCAGATTAATTCCTCAGCCCAGTTCATACTTTGCTTGTTCCCGTGTTCTGTCACGTGTGGCTGCGGTGAAGAGCATGACACAGGAGCAGGATCGGGAAGTGGATTAAAAGCTGAAATGGGAGGTATAGCATTCACTCACCCTCATGTCATACTGAGGACTGGTTGAGACTCGGGCGTTGGAGGCGGACGAAGGGAGGTGGCTTTGAGCGCTGAGCAGACAGATGTAAATGCTTGATCTGCCACTTTGGCTCCCAGGTGCATCCCAGCGCTCTTCGATGCCCACCTATGGGCTCGGGGAAGCGCGGGTGGAACGGAGGGAGTGGGCTCTTTGGAACAGTATATGGAGGGTGCTGGTAGATGGTGAGCTGAAGCGCCCATTTGCTTCCGAATGGGAACAGGACAACTATCCTCCACATCAACAAGGAAAGCAGAGCCATTTAAATCGAGGACATAATTAATAAAGTCAGCTACGGGTCTATAACAATTGTCAGGAGACAGGAATCTAAACAAATTATCATCATCGAGTCCCATTCGGAAGCAAGCATTAGCCATGTAATCGCTCCAGCTCACCAGATGTACAACACTCAGGAACTTCTCTACATATCGTTCCAAAGGCCGTCCATCCTGCTGTATGTTCCAGATTAATTCCTCAGCCCAGTTCATACTTTGCTTGTTCCCGTGTTCTGTCACGTGTGGCTGCGGTGAAGAGCATGACACAGGAGCAGGATCGGGAAGTGGATTAAAAGCTGAAATGGGAGGTATAGCATTCACTCACCCTCATGTCATTCTAAACCCGTAAGACCTCCATTCATCTTTGGAACACAAATTTAGATATTTTTGATGAATTCTGAGAGCTCTCTGACCCTCCCATAGACAGCAATGTAATTACCATGATTAAGGTCCAGAAACGTAGCAAGGAGATCGGTAAAATAATCCACATCAGGAGTTCAACCGTAATTTTACGAAGCTATGAGAATACTTTTTGTACGCAAAGAAAACTAGAATAACAACTTTATTCAACAATTCGTCTCCTCCGCATTATCCTGGTGCCATTTTGGAGAGTATCCACTGAACATAAACAGCATATGCTATTGTCATGCGGAACGAAAACAACGTATCCGCGAGGGTCAGAGAGCTCTCAGATTTCATCAAAAATCTTCTTAATTTGTGTTCCGAAGATGAACGGAGGTCTTACGGGTTTAGAACGACATGAGGGTGGGTAATTAATAACAGAATTAAAAATTTTTTGGCTGAACTAACCCTTTACGTGCTGTAATCGGGTCCCTGGTGCATCTACCAACCCAGTATTTTTTATTTTTTTTGGTAAGCCTTTCTCTGCAAGCTTGTGAAAAAAATAAAAAATAAAATAAGATTTCGCTTCCCTTGTGATGTAGAAAGGGGATCTTATTATAATATTACCGCCCCTTAATCCGCAAGTTTCCACCCATAGTGCCACCATTGTGTTTTCGCAAGCGACAACGGTGTACCAGTTCTAACGCCATGGTGAAAGTTCGAGCAAAGCACACTAACTGTTCTGTCATTGGCTGCACAAACGAGCACAGAACACTATTTAGAGTCCCAGCCTCAGAGGAGACAAGAGAGCAGTGGGTTTATTGATTTATTTACTGTATATTACGCTGCCGCCACACAGATCTAATATGAACATATGATTTATTTCCCAGCTGTTTACCTTCTCAGACATAACCGACTGTTTTTGTAACTCGTGTGGGTTTTTAACATAAACTTGTGAGTATTTGACAGTTTAAGTGCAATAAGACATGAAAGAGAACCTAGTTTAGTACTTGCATACCTGTGACAGCCACTGTCTGTGCGTGTTCTTCGGAAAACCCTATATCAGAAGTTTAAACATGCTATTGTACAGCCCCTATTAAAAGGCCCTCATCTTGACCCCACTGCACATAACAATTATCGCCCTATCTCTAAACTCTCATTTCAAAGGTTTTGGAAAAAGTTGCACTCTCACAGTTTACTTCCTACCTGGATACTTTTAATATTTTAGACCCGTTTCAATCTGGTTTTAGAGCACTGCATAGCACTGAGTCGGCATTGCTGAAGGTTACAAATGACATTCTGCTGTCCATTGATTCTGGGTCATCTGCTATCTTCTAAAACGACTTGAGTGTGTTGTTAGCGTTCAGGGCCTAGCCTTAGAGTGGTTCGCCTCATACTTAAAGGGGAGGACTTTTTCTGTAAATATCGGGTCATTTACTTCACCCCTTGCACCTATCCATTGTGGTGTTCCTCAGGGATCCATTCTTGGCCTTCTTTTGTTTTCCCTTTACATACTCCCCTTGGGATCAATACTCCAGAAACATAATATTAATGATCATTGTTACGCTGCTGACCTCCAACTATATCTTCCAGTCAAACCAGGAAATTACTTTTCATTAGATCATCTTTTCTTATGCCTTAATGAAGTCAAGACCTGGATGACAAAAAACTCTCTGCAGTTGAATGGAAATAATACCGAAGTGCTTCTACTGGTCCCTGCTGCTACTAACAACTCCATTAAAACACAGTTAGGTTTTCTAAGTAATAACCTACACAATTATGCAAAAAATATTGGAGTCCATTATAATCCTCTTCTCCAACCTGACAAGCATGTAAATGCAGTTGTAAAGAGTAGCTTTTTTCATCTCAGATCAGTGGCTAAGGTGAAACACTTTCTTTCTAGTAAAGACCTTGAAATTGTAATTCATGCATTAATTTCTTCTCGATTGGATTACTGTAACTCTTTGTACATTGGCCTACCTCAATCTACACTGTCTCGGTTACAGATGGTTCAAAATGCAGCAGCCAGATTCTTAACAGGAACTAAGAAAAGGGATCATATCTCCCCTGTCCTTGCCTCATTGCACTGGCTCCCTATAAAACTTAGAGTCAACTTTAAGATATTTCTTTTTGCATACAAGCATTGAATAATTCTGCCCCGGATTATATCTGTGATCTCATTAGGCCATATACAGCCTCTAGGTCATTAAGATATAGTGATCAGTTACTTTTATCTGACCCCGTTCACATTGTAAAACAAAAGGTGATCGAGCTTTCTCAGTAGTTGCACCAAAGCTGTGGAACAGTCTACCTTTGAACATCAGAGCTTCTCCATCATTGGACGCTTTTAAATCTAGCTTAAAGACTTAGTTTTACTCTTTAACATTTGAGTGATGCTGTGTATGTACTTTGAATAGTTTAATTGGTGTTACAGTTTTTTACGACCGCTATGACATTTTTTTCAATACTTCTAACAATTTTCCTAAACTCTTAACGCACCAACACACCTACAACACATAATTGACAAAACGGTTAATTTCATGCTCAAAATCACACATTGCAAACTAAACAACAACACAAATTTTCTAATTACAATACACTACATCTACCAAAACACTGCAAACATGTCTCAAAAATCTAATTATTATTCCAAAACACTAACACATGTTCTCTTCCAACAGGAATATTTAGCCTATCGTAGCACAATATCATAAAAACACTAAACAAATGGAATTACAGAAACTGCTATTTTTTTAGGTGTCGGGTCTGACCTTATACGATAGACAGTATATTGTGTTTTACACTACAGTTTCTTTTTCTTTTTGGGTTTAGCAAATGCATGTATTTTGATTATTTTGCTGCAGAAATTCAATACAAAAATTGAATGACCCTTCTCAGAGTAGCTTTATAGAATGAACGGTTTATGGGGAAAAAGACAGAGACAGAATTGCTGCAGTAACGGCTTTATTTGCAACAGAACATTAGAAAAAAACTAAAAAGAAAACAAGTACAATATAGCTGTCATTTATTATGTGAAAATACAAAATATACAAACAGAAAAAGTCACAGAAGAATAAAAAATAAATAAATAAATGTATTCTAATCTGCCTGGTGTATTCTTGTATTCTATAAATGTATTCTTCTGCGTTTGGCCACATGTTCTCATCCTCATCACACCTGATATCTTCTCTGGCAAGGCATCTTGGGAAGAATCTTTTGG